TTGAAATAATGGAATCTGAAAAGAGTTTCCTTAAACCAGTACTCCGGAGTCCCCATTTGCTGCCAGTTCTTTACACGAAACCTAATATTTCCGAAACTAAGCGGTGGAAAACCAGCCAGTGGAAATATTCATTCCATTTCCATGAAGGGGTTAAAGAGCCCCGGCAAAAATAAAGAGAAAGTACGAGTAGCGGCTCATTTAATTTTATTTGTCGAAAAATTGTTGTTGGTGTCAATTTCTGGTACGTGTGCGTGTGTGTGTGTGCTGCTTTTGCCCCTTTCTATTTGGCATTTGCTTTTGGCTTTCATTTTATTTGCTGTTTCAATTGTCAGCTCCGCTTTCGGCCCAGCTTTCGGCTGAAAGTGGCTGTCGAGTATTAGGTCTAAATGGTGTATTACAAAACATTCCAACAAAAGCAACAACGAACAAGAAGTGCCATCAAGGAACTCTTTATGATGATATGGTGGCAAAATGTTGAGGGGGGGGCTGTGTTTTCGTTGGGGCGTTGCACAAATTAAACCCGAATGAAAATTAAACGATGCATGAAATTACTTTGCTTCTTTTTCACTCTCTCTTCCTGTTTCTCGCATTCGCGGGCTGTCTGGCATACCCTTCAAAAGGGGTAGGGCATATTTCCACAAGTACTGACAGGTCTCTAGGGATCTCTAGGGGTCTCTTCTTTCATTTTAGGGTATCAAATGCTTCGGTTAGACTTCCTTTTCCTCCTCTTTTTGCTGGAGGCCAAGTTCTGCTCCTTCTGCTGTTGCGACTTTGCCTTTTGCCTTTTGGCTTTTGCCTTCGGGTTGAGCTTTCCCTCGGCCTGACTGGGGTTCCGCTTGGGGGGCCGGGGTGGGGCGTTTTTAATTTTTAATGTGCACTCAGTTGTTGTTTCTGCCGGGTAGAAGGACACACACCATTTATGCAGTCACTGTCTGGCCCAGCAAAAGTCTGACAAAGAAGCCAAGGAGAGTGCGGCCCAGTCCCGGGCCAATTTGCCGAGTCAAATGTCACTCAACTGCAATTAAGGCGCTACAAAACGATGGGGCGTGTCCTGTGACACGGGCCAAAGGTACAAGTTTAAGCGAAAATGGCTGGCATCAGCGGTTTTTACTTTATCAAAACTGTTGGGATGCTTGAAGGATTTCCCTTCTACATCGGGGCGTCCAAGGCGGCAATAATCGTTCTAGATCTCCTTTGAAGGAACCTGTGTAGCTCCATTCCCATTCATGGAGCAGGAGTTCTCTTTACATGGCCTGTGGACGCTTCAGAGGCTACTCTTAGGCCTCTTGGCTGGCCAGAAGGTGTGTAGCTCTCCATCATGGGACCTTTTGCAATGATATCCTGGGTTTGTTTGCCTTTATATCTTTGGGGACTGTCCTCAAATGTCATTTATGGGTTCCTCCCTTGGCTTCCTGGCTCCGTTCTCCTGTTTTGTGGCTTCCTCCTGCTGTTGGATCGCCTCTGCTCGACATTAAAGTCAATATATTCGAATATATACAGGTCGCTCAATAAGTCCCTCCTGTCGGAGTCCCTCCACTCCCCCTGCCCCAATCGGTGACACAAATTCTCCAGCTTATTAGCACATTTTATGGCACCATCCACTCCATTTATCTGCCTATTTTTTCGGTGCTGGCAGAGCCAAAAAAGTAACCCCATCACAATACACACGGAAATGAATTTATAATGCATGACTTTTGCTGTTTTGTTGGCCCGTTTGGGCCATCAAATATTCTGCCATTTCGGCTGCATGTGTGGGAGGAGGGGAAGGGGGGAGACACAAGAGAGGCGCGACAGCAAAAAGGCACAACTGGAAAGGCAAACAACTAACTCATTTTGTGGTTGCCATCTCTTTTGCCCCTCTTTTTATGCCAATTGTCGATTGTCTGCCACAAACAGGCACACACACACACACACACGCACACACACACACAGAGAGAAATACGGTGAAAGCATTCAGCGTATTTTTTATTGAAGGCGCGACTGCGATTCTGATTCCGATTGCGAATCCGATTGTCGTTCCCTTTGAATACCCTGCCAGAGGGTGGGCTCATTTCCACCAGTCGTTTGTAATGCCACTGACTGCCTGGCTCCATCAGATTGAAGCTTCCAGAGAGGATTCCCCACATCCCCTGACTAAATCGTGGGTCAACTCCGCAAGGATATCAAATGCTTCGGCCTCGCAGTGGCCTCTGCCTGACGCTTTGACTGGCCTGCTCTCTGCTTCCGCTGCCACTGAGCCTCTCTCTGCCCTCTGCCCTCTGACGATTTGTGGTGCACATTGTTCAATATTATAGTCGACCGTGTGTCTGTGTGCATAACCTCCGGCTTGGGTTTTTGAGCTGGGGCGTGTGACAGCTCAATATATTCGCCATTTGTCGCTGTATAAGCCACATAGCTGCCATCCTCCAACCTCCAACCTGGCCCATTCCCTGCGCTGCTTTTTCCCCCACACTCAAGGTGTGTGTTCTGTCGCCGCTCTCGCTGCCACTGCCACTGCCATTGCCTTTGCTGCTCTTCTGCTGCCACTGCCACTGCCTTTGCTGCTCTCGCTGCTGCCACCGCTAGTTGTCATATAAATGTGGCTTGCTGAATGTCGCAAAACTGCTGAACGATGCCAGAGACAACAGGAGATCCCTCAGACACCCACCCAGCGCCCTCTGCCCGCGGAAGCAAAGGAAAAGGCAGTCACTGTGTAACGATGCACAGTGGTTCGAAGTGTATAAAAAACGTTAGAGGAAGGGCAAGAATGGTCTTTTATATAGTCCCAATGGTGAGGAGAGGCTACTAGATCTTGTATAGAACGGGTATAACATGTTCTCAAAGCTGTAGATGCACTTCGAACAGAATTCTGTAAGCCCTGTAAAACTTAACATAACTTTAACAGCACTTCAATGAAGAAATGTAAAGCCTTTCACGCTCTGCAGAGCTTAGATCTTCAGACTTCAATTAGGAAACTCTAATCAATACCAACAATAAATAAATCAAATAAAATATTAAATATATGTTTTTTATAAATAATTAAAAATCTAATTATTTTTAGTTTTTTACGATATAAAATAGGTGCTAAAAATTCAAATATATCTCCCAAAAGTCGTATCCAAAGCTCTATTAAAATCCAAAAATCCAATGACAAAAATAAAGTAAGACTAACCCCAACATAGGCCCCTGGTGCCACTGTTCCAGACTGGGTGTGTGTGTGTGTGTGACTCCATTGCTTCTCTGTAGTAGTGCTGTTTGTTGTTGTTGCCGGAGAAATGCAGGAAAATCAATTTCGTTCTCCATTTGCAGTTGGCAATTTGCATAATAAGGTCGTTTGGCGCAATTTGCATGTGAATGTGATAAATTCAATGGCGGCGCTGCACGTTACACCACACACACACACACACACGGGCACACACACGTGCCTGTGTCTGCGTGAGTATTTGTTTTTTTTTTTTCGCCAGTGCGGCCACAGAACTCACTTTTTCACATTTGACGTTTGAAGAAATGAAAAGTGTAACGGTATATTAAATAAGTGGGTGTGTCTCCTCCCCCTCGTCCCACCTCCCACCTCCCCCATGTGGGGTACTGGCTCTCTCTCGGACTAGGACTGACCGAAAACCCGCCAAAATGTGTCGCCAGGCAAGGGGCAGATTTTTGCTGTTTGTGATTTAAGGGCTTTGGCATTTGTTTAGGTCTCCATACTCTTTTCAAAGGGTATTGAACTTTTGTTGAGAGGTGTTTACACTTTTGACTCCATTCTTAACCAATTAAAAACGATTTTTACACGGGTTTTTCAGGAACCAAACTACCTTGTAAAAGCAGAATCAGGTTCACACAATTTGCTGTTATATTTTTTCCATCTTCCTGGTTTGTATATCATTGTTTTGTTCTTTTCTGGAAATTATTGTCTTATTAGTCTGTACTTTTTGTATTTTTCACGTGAAGGAAATGCGGCTGCAGGGTTAAATCCTTATAATTGGAATTTGTAATAATTATGGGCCCAAAATTATTTTTAAAAAATTCCAAAATCGCTATTTGTAGGCTGCCAAGTTTGTTACTTTATATCTGGCTTCTGCAGCACCGAAATCCAAAATAATTAAATCATTGAAAAGAGAATTTTATGATTTTTCAAAGGATTTTATATTCTTGTTGGGTTCAAAGGGATTATCTAAAGAAATATGGTACTAAAGTGGAAGTTTTCTACCGCTTTTAATGTCTTTAAAACTTAATATTTTATATATTCTATATTTATATTTATTTTATTATTTATTATATATTTATTTATATTTTGTATATTCGATTTTGTATCTATTCTATATTTAATATTTATGTCGTTTAAGAGGATTTATCCGAAAAAATATGGCTTTCCACTGTTTTTAATGTTTCTTTAACTTTGATAATTTTTTTTAAATTATATTTTGTAGGGTATGGTCTCCTTTTAAGTCTCTAGTTCTTTAGAGGCATAAATTTCCACAAAAATAAAAGCTAAAAATCTTTAAAATTTCTCTAAAGAATGACAAAGACACGAATTTGTTGCCTAAAGAGTTTTGTAAGGACTACCCAACCGATATGCACCTGCAGGGTATTCAAACAGACTTCACCTTTCAAAATTTAAACGTAAAAATATGTGAGTTTTTTGTGTATTTGTGCCGTGCCCGCCACGTGAATTGTAGACTGCAGTGACATGCACTGGATTGTCCCGGATCCCCGGTGGCAGGCACCCGGCGTCCAGGAACAACAACGGGAGCGTGCAAGTCAAAATTCATGTGACAGCAGGCCCCAAAAGGTTTTTTGTGTGTTTGGGTTTTGCTAGTTTTCTGGTTTAGACGGAAAATATGGCCAGCCGGAATCATAACCGCTGAAATATGCATGTGGCAAGCAAAAGTTTGAGCCACTAAAGGCTTAAGCCCGGCCCCACAGGGGAGCCCCAGGGGCAGGACATTAGAAATAATTCCACCACTCGCATAGCCGTTTTCTCTAATTCTGTTTATCTCGTTTTCTCTACCAACTAATTGCAGACATTAGCAGCTCCCTGACAATGACCGAGGTGAAGATACCCAATCACATAATGCGGCTGAAGAGCGCCACTCTGGGCTGTCGTTATGCGCTGGACGGCGAGTCGCTGTACTCGGTGAAATGGTACAAGGATGGACACGAGATCTACCGCTATGTGCCGCGCGATAAGCCCCCTGGACAGGCGTTCCCCCTGCCGGGAGTCAACATCGATGTGAGTGGGGGGGGGAGGGGAGTGTATGGTGCAACAGGTGCTGCCACTGCTGCCACAAAAAGAAACAACGAAAGAGGGAGAGAAATTTAATTTAAAATTTTATTACAATTTACGGGGTTGGGCTTGGGGTTGGGGCTTAGAGTGTGGGGGTTGTTGTTTAGGATTTAGTGTTACGACCCGATCATAATGATTATTTTAAAACATGTAATTGCCACAGAGCACCCCCAAAGCTCTCAGACGCTGGGGGCGTCTTCTCCCTGCTGCTGATTACGTCGACGGTGAGATGAAAATTGCTGCCACGTAGTTTTGCAATTTAACTTTAATTTAATGTGGATGTAACCGGCTTTTGTTGGCCATAAAAATGTGTGTGTCTGCTGCTTCCTTGTTCGCTCTCTCTCTCTCTCTCTTTGGCTTGGCTAAGGTCACGTGTTGGTCTGCTTTTGCTGCGATTGAAAAGGTTAACGGAAATCACTTAAAGCTGTCAATATCCCAGACAAAGTTGATATCCTTTGGCCTCCCATTTCCCCACTTCCACTTCCCATTCCCAATGGCAGGACTCTAGCGAGCCGCTCTAATAATAATAATTTGCCAAAAGCACTTAAGTGCGTCTACTTTGTCGGATGGCAGGGCAAAGGCAGAGCAAGTGCAGGGCAAAGGAGCCAGTGCCAGTGCCAGTACCACTGCCAGACCCAGAGCCAGTGCAAAGGCAAAGTAAATCCCGTCAATTGTCGGTCTAACGTGGCGTATGAGCAATGTGCGAGCGTGTTTTATGGCCTGTGCGTGTTTCCCAGCGGCCAAAAAGGGCAACACAACCACACAAAGGGGGTCGGGGGGAGGGGGAGGGGGTCCGGGGGTGGAAATAAGAGAGTCCTTCAGGGCCTAAGTGAAACAACAGGCCAGGCGTGCAGGCAGTGGCGGGCATAACGCGTAATGCGGCATAATTTTCGCTGATCTCAATGTCTGCATTTGGACCCGGCCAAAAAGGGTTGAGGGCCTTAACCGCGAGGACAGGCAGATGATTAGAACAAAAGAGAGAGCGGGAAACAGAGAGGCAGAGCTGCGGCAGGGAAAAAGCTCTTGGAAAGCTGTGCGGGACATGATAAAGTGGAAATATTTTCACGCGAACGCCTTGTGGCCCGGAATTAATGCCGGAAATTCTCTTTAGAATTTTGGGATATTGCTTTTGGGAATTTCCGAAAATCTGGCTATTAATAGAGAGAGCGAACGAATCTAAAAATATAACGAAAATGTGCGTGTGAGCAAGTCGCAAGAGGCAACAGTTGATTGAAATGGAACGGAGTTGTTTCACGAGGTTTTTATATAAGAGAATACATCAGGAGGGTTTGGAAAACTGTGAAAAATGGTGACAGGAATTGTTTTGTGTGGATAAATAGCTTGTAGATACCATTTCCCTTTAATCTACATTACGAATGTATCTTTTATCATCAAATTTATCCCTTGGATGCTTTTGTAGGCAACCTCCTTAACAAATTTTATGTAATTCAGGTACTTTCGATACTTTTTGTCTCAAAAGAGCCGTGGAAACACTTGTCTAAACATCTTTCGTTTTATTTAATGTCTCTTTGAAACAATCTCTTGCTAATATACTTCAAAGATACTTAGTGGGGAGTGTGCTCCCCTCTTTTTAAATGAAATTTGCATCCAAATCAGAGATGTGGCTCCCTGTTCCGGCCACTGCAATCAGGGCAGCATGAACAAGGTTAGAGCTGAGATTCTTTTTGGCCAAAACCAAATTTGGAATTACAAATAACAACTTCAATCTGCAATCATGAGCGAAATGGCCAGCGCATGTTCATCCAAAGTGGAGGATTGTTAGAAGACTTGAGACGCGGGGGGGCGGGGGGGACGTGGGAGACGTAGAAGCAATAAAGAGAGACGACTGCAATTTGAATTGTGGCTAGAAGAACAATTCTCCATCTGTGCTCAGCTGTAGCCGGTTTCTACCCCCCTTTGACCAACATCCACCCCCCATGAAGGGGGTCACGCGGGGCGCTGACAACTTGAGCGTGCCCCAAGAATTGGGGAAAAAGAAGCACAACCCGACTTAAGTACTGCCAAGAAGGGAACAAACAAAAGCCAGTCCAACGACCATTGTACAAGAATTGAAGGGCTCTGTGTGGGGGGAGGGTGGGGGGAGGGCAACGACATCCGAAAACAAGCAACAAACCAAAAATAATGTTGAACGTGACTTTTGTGATTGTTTACGTCAGAGTGGGATAGAGAGACCAGAGACAAAAGAGTGAGAGAGAGAGGAGACGAGCATAAAGCGAGAGCAAAGAATTTTCATAAAAATTTGCTCGACAACGGTCTAAAAATGGAATGCAATGAAACTTTCTTTGTACACCCCGCTACGAGCTGGAAAAAAGGGTATAATGTGGAGCTGTTCAACAGGAAGCGACAGGGAGACAGAGATTCTGATCACTAGAAGGGGCATACGTACATGTATATCCTTTTGATCAGCCATAAGTTGTACCATTTCTGTTGTATAAACGCTTTTAAATAGAATTCGAAGACTTCGAGACTCTAGACTCCACTTAAATGGCTCCCAAAACTGTAAATATGTGTGGCCGAGGGTATTTTGTAGTTCTACTTTTACTCCAGGACACTATTTTATTTAATTCTTCAATTTTCAAATACACACAAGTTAATCGTGGCTCTAAACAATAGGCCAATATTGCGCGAATGATTTAAACCAGCAACGATCACTGTTAACAGCGGCAGCGTTAACAGCAGCATCGGCTTCAGCAGCAGTGCTTACAGCGGCAGCGTTAACAGCAGCATCGGCTACAGCAGCAGCGTTAACAGCGGCAGGCTTAACAGTAGCATCGGCTACAGCAGCAGCGTTAACAGCAGCAGCGTTAATAGCAGCAGCGTTAACAGCAGCAACGTCGACAGCAGCAGTAGCTGCAGCGCCAGAATCGACGCCCGCTACTAGTCTCCCTCGCTGTTTTTCTCTCTCTCCCCCTGTTACTGGCACTGTTAACTCTACGACCCTGTTGATCTTCCACTTCTAGACCCGCTCTCTCTGTTACTTGCTCTGCTAGTCTCTCTATCTCTGCTGATGGTTCTGTTAACACTACAGACCCTGTTGATCAGCCCTTTCTAGTCTCTCCCACTCTGTTGCCTTCTCTGTTAAATCTACAGACTAGATCCTGTTGCTGCCTTTGACTTCTCACAAACTCCCACATATATGACTTTCAAATAAAAGAGAATTATGTACATAGAATCCTGGTTGAATAATTGCTAAGTAGTTTTGAAGCCAGCAGTGGCTCCAATTTGATTGAGTCCACAAAAGTGCACACCTAACGAGCGGCAAGGGCCGCGGCTCTACCTCTAACTCTTCGATTTCCGGGCATAAAAACAGCAGGTATCTTGTGGTCGGTATAGATACCAACCAATACCATATAGAGCGAGCCCTCAACGGAGCATGTGTGTGCGTTTGATAATAAAAACTGCAACTTAAAGAACTTGACTGCAATTGTTGCTCGAAGGAGAACAAAACGAAGATATTTGAGTGACTTTTACAACAGTTTTCGCCCGTGCCCCTCCCTCCCCCCGCCCACTTGGGCCATTCTCCTACAGAGTTGCGTATCTTCCATCTTTTATGCTGTTCCTCCTTCGTTCCTTTGTACCCTCGTTCCACTTTTAGTGTGGAAATTTTGTGCGATTGTTTCTAGATATTTCATTGGAGTTTTTCGGGGATCTTGGGCCCCGCTTTATGACTTTTGTTGGCTTTTCTGCAAATTAAATTTGTCCGTTGATGAAAGCCACGCCTACTGTCCGTCAAGACAGACCCCAAAAACTAATAATAAACTGTGAGAGTATTTTTGGGGTTCTGCGGGTGCCATCATCAATCTTCATTTGGCAGGAAAAAAACGCCACACCATTAGATAAATCTTGAACTCTAATTGCATTTGGATTTGTGTCGATTCATTGTTGTGTAATTTGTCTTCTCTTGCAGCTGCGTAACTCCTCGGACACACAGATAATCCTGCGACGCGTAACACTCCAAAGTTCTGGACTCTACCGCTGCGAGGTGTCCGGCGAGGCGCCCGCATTCAACACCGTCTCCGAGTCGGAGACCATGACGGTTGTGGGTAAGTACTTTCACCACCCACCCCCCCATAAAAAAGGTGAAAAACGAAGGACAGTCATGGGGCGACAACAGAGAATTTAATTAAAATGCTAATAGTCCCGGGCAGTCGCAGTCGCAGTCAACAATGTTGTGAATGACATCTGAAGTTGCATGCAACGGCAGAGGCAGAGGCAGAGGCAACATAATTGGTGGGGAGAGCGAAAGCCAAAAAGGGATTGACAGACACAAGTTAAAGGATAACAACCGAGGACTCCTGTCACCAGAAACGGATCGGAAAAAAAACCCATTTAAAGACCGAACCGAACCCTGTCTGAAATCTGAATCCGAGTCGGAGGCGGAGTCCGAGTCGGAGATGTAGTCTCTGGATGTAAATTGCATGCAGGTTGTCAGCCCGCTGTCAGGGGATTCTTTGATGGTTTCCTACTCACACGCTCGGATGCCTCCTTCTTACCCTCGGCTGCAGATGCGGGTTGAAGCCTTTAAACCTTTAAAGAGCAGATCGCCAGAGCCACCAAAAACTCTCCCTAAAACCTTTACAATTAATTCCCAAAGCTCGTTGCTCCAAACCTTCAGTTATCTTTTGTCGGGGATCCTTTCACTCGGCGACATTAATCAACATAATTAAATTAAAGTTTTTCAGTGCCGACGAAAAACCCGAGACGGCTTTAAGGCGTGTTCCGGCGCCTCAGGTGTCGCCGTGTGGCTCCTTGGTGCACCATCATCGTAAATGGAATTCATGCAACATGGCAATGCGTTGCAAATGGCATTGTCGAGTCGAGTCAACTCCCAGGCTCCTTGTAAAGCTCGCCAGCTCTTGTTCGCTCCCTCCCACTGCCCGTTTTTTCGCTTTCTTTACGGTTTTCTGTGTGTTGTTTTTGCTCCGTGCGTTGGCAACCCTAGACACTGGATAGCACTCTACCCTGGCCACCATCCAGCCTCCACTCCCATCTTCTTTCGCTTTTTGCTCTTAATACAGCTGCATAATCTAAGCCAACAATTGAAATGGAATTTCTGCAGTCGCCGTCGCCGTCGACGTTGCAGCTACAACAAAGAGTCGCCCCAGAGCCCCAGCCCCAGCCCCAGCCCCAGAGCCCCCGCCCCCGCCCATGTGTGTACAGAGAAGGGGCGTGGCAACTGTCATTGCAATTTTGAAGTAAAATTATGTTTTCATGTCGACTTTTAAGTAGGAAAAATGGTCCCTCCAAGACAATGGGCGCCAGCTGCCACAAAAACTTGGCTGTGAGAGTGTGTGTGGGGGGCAAGGGGGAACCCGGGTTTCCTGAAAGTTTCCTTCAATCAAGAAGCCTCGCCTGAAGTTAATCACAAATTTATAAACTCATAAAAGAATCAAACGGTTATCAATATGTGCAGCGCCAACCAAGGGAATCCCCCTGAGGACTCAGACCAAGAAAATCATCTTGAGAGGGCTTCTCTGCCTTGAGGCACGCCCATCGCCCAAAACCAACGCCCAACGCCCCTTTGCTCGGGACAACACGCACTAAGCACATTTCATGCTGATTTTCCTTTTGGCCATTCCCAGAGCTGACAAGCCCTCCTCCATCTTCCTCACGACTGGGTCGCATTGGAATGTCAGGGAAATGGAAATGGTTTTGCATATTAAACAATGTGTCTGGGCAGCCAAATTGAACGATATTCGAACCAAAGTCGAAGGGGGAAAACGCCAGAGAATATAAAGAAATTGTGGGCGTTGCAAATCGAACCCAAACGCAGACCAAGGAGGAATCTCATCATCAACAACTGTGTCAGCGGCATCATCATTCTTGGGGTTGTCTGTGTGGGATGGTCCTGGGTCGTCCTGCTAATGCAAGTGAACCATAAAATATGCTTTAGTGGGGGACTCTGCCTCGTTTGTCCCCGCAGAGACCTGCCCAACGGCCCCAATGTGGCGGGAAATGTTAATTTTTGCGATCATAAAAAGCGCCAGCGAAACGCCAATCTTTTATGGATATGATTTTGGTGGGATTCCCAGGCTGATTTATTGATATGGAAGCTGGGCAAATGTATTGGTTTGTCGGGTAGCTGGTTGGAGTGGATGTTGAGATGAACTGCATTCATGTTTAGGTCTTGAGGGGGCATGGGATCCATCCAGCTATCTGGAAGTACAGCTGATCTAAATAGAGCTTCCATCTGGAAATTAATGATATTGATATTGGATTGGCGAAGAGAGTTCCGGCTTAACAGCCTGTTACGCCTGCTGCCGTCTACAGCTCTCTGTTAACAGCCTGTTGCCGTCTACAGCTCTGCTGCCGGCTACCTCCCTCTGTTAACAGCCATGTAACGCCTGCTACCGTCTACAGCTCTCTGTTAACAGACTGTTACGCATGCTGCCGACTAGCGCTCTCTGTTAAACGCCATGTTACGCATGCTACCGGCTGCCTCTCTCTGTTAAACGCCTGTTACGCCTTCTGCCAGCTACCTCTCTCTGTTAAGCGCCTGTTACCGCCCGCTGTTATCGTTCTCTGACGCCGCTCGCTGCTCTCACGATCCACACGGCTTTCGAGCGGCCCTACGAATTTATCCAAGCATAACCGGCCCTTACCATCTATTCCTCAAGATTCTTTAAACGGTTAAGAACTCCATTCCCCTACTCACAGGAGTGGAAGAGTAGAAATAGCAGAAGAGAATACCATTCCTCTTGGTCCTATTTCATCCCATTTATGTGCGCATTCTTTCAGCTGCTCTTTCTTCTCCCGTTGATGCTTCCATCTTCACCATTTGCCTCTTCTCTTCACTGCATTCTTCAATTATTTTCCTGTCGATTGTTATTTACATTCTTTTTGCGGTCAGGAATGCTCTCTCACTCTCTCTTCCGTCACACTCTTTTAGCCATCTGTCGTTGGGTCCATTGTTGTTCGAAAACAACTTGCAAGAAATTCAAAAAGAAAAGAAACGAAATGGAAGAGAACGGAAATGAAATGAAAGGGAACGGATTGAAAGGGAACGGCACTGCACTGCAGGACTGTCACTTCCTCGCACTCCTTGTACTGACAGCTTCTCGGGTTCCCCAAAGTACTTCAGTCCGGCACTATGTCGCCGCTTTCGCTGGCCCTTTCTCCACTTTCTCCTCCCTCCCACATGCCGCAGTTTTCTCTTCCACTTCCTCTTTGTCCGCAGGACAGACGCCCTCCTCATTTGTTATCTTTAATTTTACATATGGCAACGATTTTTAATGCACCCCACCCCACCCCACCCTGTCCGCTCTCTTTCGCTCTCTGTTGCGGCATGTTTGAGTTAAGACAACATTACAGTTACCGTTATTTCCTCAGCTCTTCCTGTATCCGTATCTGTATCTGACTCTTCCATACAGACATTTGTATCTGTGTGTGTGTGTGTGTATCCGTGTGCGCGTTTGGCGCGTTGTTTTATAATTAATGAGCACGCAAGGCTCTCAACGCTCGGCACATGTCCTGCTCTCTCGCGCCGGGTACCCATCCATGGGGTTCTGGGATCCTAGCAGGGTCCTTGGGCAGGTCTTCTACTCGTTCCCCCACCCTCTGAATTTATGGTTAAGTGCACTTTAAAGGACAAACACATATATAACTCACTTTTCCCCGCTGCGTTTCCTCCACACACCACACACGTCCCCGTACTCGAACTCCTCCTCGCACTCCTCCTCGCACTCGTATAATGTGATCGCTTATCGATTTTACAATATAAAAAAGCAATTGCCTGCATAAAGGACCAAGACAAGGATGTTCTTGGGCCCCACCTCCGTGACCCCCCACTGGAGAGAGCAAAGTTAAATGTGATTTTTATGAGCTATGAGAAAAGTTGGCCAAGGGAGCGGAGCCCACTCTGCCGCAATATTTATTGTTGCTCCCTGCCCTGGTCACACTAATGAGCTGTAAATTCTCCAAAGAGGCTCCAGCTCCAGCTCCGGCATTCATTAAAGTTTAGTGCGAACAATTGAGGGGAATTCTTGGGGGCCACAAGTTCCTCCACTAAGACGTTGAGCAGATAATACTTTGTTTGAGTTGAGGGCAGGCTATTTATAGTCTTGTTAACGTCTTGATAACTACATAACGGGGATACAAATTTAATGGTCATTCGAATAGGTATTTTATGAGGTCTGTACCGAGTGGATCGTGAGAGCGAGCCCGCGGTCACAGAGCGGTAACAGTGCTCTGTAACCGAGAGCGGCCCTAGGCTGTTATCGAGCTAACAGAGAGTGCTAACAGGCTGTTAAGGGAGAGTGCTGATAGGCTGTTAACGGCGAGGTCTAGAGGGCTGTTAACGGCGAGGTCTAGAGGGCTGTTAACGGCGACGTCTAGAGGGCTGTTAACGGCGAGGTCTAGAGGGCTGTTACGGCGAGGGCTAACAGTCTGTTAATCTGCTGTATTAACAGCGCTCTTCCTCTGTTCGATCTGCTGTCCTAAACAGATGCCCTAGAAGCCTCTTACGAATAAAATATAATATTTCACAGCGCAAATAACAAATAAAATTGGCTTTAATCAAATCTTGTTCAGAATAATCGTTTATAATGGCAAAGTTATGTCTTCCAGATCTTTTTCTCTGCCATAATAATGACGTAGTCTTCAGAAAGCATCCCAAAAGCCCTTTGACCCCCTCGATACCTCCACCTCTCTTGTTGCAACAAGACAGACCCGCCGGATGACTGAAATGAAGGACTTCAGAAATATTTTTTTTCTATCTGCCTGAGCTGTCAACTACCACTGTCTGCGACTGTACTTGCTTTAAATATTTCTATTTGCATTTTACGTTATTTATTTCCATAGACAAATGCCATTTGGAGTGGAATAAATTTCACATTGCAGCTGGGCGTAAATCATTTCAACAAATGTTTATTAAAAAATTTGCAAAAGTATGAAAAGAGAGAGGGAGAGGGAGAGGGGGAGGCAGAGCGAGTCACTTAGGCAAGGACTCACAACATGTGCATAATCCACTTGTCCCCTGGAGGACTACGGTCCCTGGAGGAACCCCCTGTATCTAGAACAAGCGAATGCCTAGAGGAGAGACACAGCCCCAGTCCCAGTCCCAATCCATCTGCTCATTGCCGAAATCCCAGCCACCTGACCCAGCTTATCGCTTGCCTCAGAAGAAGCTGCAGAGTGCGCTGGAGGGGTGGCAAGGGGGTGGGGGAAAAACATGCCGCAGCATATTAAAAGGAGACCACCAACAGAGCCGAACGGACGCCCACTTAAAGTGCTCACTGTAGTTGTCTGTCCCCCCCCGCTGGCCCCCCTCTTGTCAGCCACCTTGTTGCTGTTGTTGCTGGAGGCTGCTGCCTTAGACACTTTTTCACCTGGTTTCTTTCGTTCTTTCGGTTTTTTTCCGCCTTCTTTCTGACTGCACAAAAGGTAGCAAACGAGCAGTTAAAACGGTAGTCCCCCCCCCCCTGCGCCCCACCGCTCTACTTTCTGCCGAAAAAGAAACTGCTTAGTCATGGGAAAATGCCGAAAATATACTTGAACCATGCGGCTATTCAGCATTCAGCATTCCCTCCATACCCACCACTCCCTCCCTCCCCCCGCATTTCCCTTTTAGCTTTTAGTTTTTTGGGCTTATTGCAAGTCCTGCTGCGGGTTCCCCTGCCCTGACTCCCCCTCCCCTGCCTCCCCTGCCTCCTTGTCGTTGCGTGCTAAGTCTGGGCAAAATAAATTGCCAAATCATACCAACATACACTCAGGCCATCCATGTGTGTGGGGGGGATACCCTCCCTCTGCCTCTCGGCCTCACCCTGTTCTCCCCTTTGTTCTCTCGGGCTCTTCATGGGGGGTCGCCCCATTAGATTTATGCCACAAAATAAAATTTAAGTGCGACAATATGGCGTTGACTTAAAAAATGCTCACATTATATATAAACAATTATCAGAACATAACCCCGGGAGCACACACAGGTGGGCACAGGGGATGCCAAGGCGGGGAGGGGTTTCGATAAAGGTTTTTTGGCGGGTCATAAATATCAAGCGGAGATAACATTCAATTTATATTGGAAACCATTAATTAAAGTTCAGCTTAGGTTAAGGTTTTTTTTAGGGGGACATTTGAGGGGCGATAAATGGAGGGAATTGGGAGGAGAATTCTGGCGGAGAAAATTGGGAAAAATTCTCTAATCTATGCCTAAGAATATACGATATTACTTACATTTTATGGATTTGTTTTTCCAGCTAATTTTTGATCAGAAATTGCACTTCTTATTTCTTGAAATTTCTTAAAAATATATTTTAAGGGAATTGGGAATAGAATTCTGGGGGAGAAAATGGGGAAAATAAGTCTCCAATCTATGTCTAAGAATATTCTATACTACTGTATTTTAGGGATTGATTCTTCGAGTTAGTTTTTAAAAATTAAATTGCATTTTTTCTTTCTTGAAAATTCTTTCGAGGGGGAAACTGAAATGCGCTAAATGAAGGGAATTGAAGGGAGAAACATTGGGAAAATCTGCCGTCAAATAAAGTTCCAATCTATGCCTAAGAATTTTAGATACTACTGTAATTTTGGGATTTGTTTCTTCCTGTAAATTTTTAATCATAAATTGCATTTCTTCTTTCTTGAAATTTCTTAAAAATTTCTTTCAAGGTGGATATCTAAATATGTACGTTAAATGGAGGGAATTGGAAAGAGAATTCTAGAGGAGAAAATGGGAAAAAATAAATCTCCAATCTATGCCTAAGAATATTAGATACTACTGTATTTATTGGATTGAGTTTTCCAGCATTTCTTCTTTCTTCTTCCCGGCCGAAAATCCACCTAATTTCTTTCCTTTTTTTCCTGGGTCCTTCTGGTTTTTGCCATCATCTAATTTCGGTTGATAACAATTTACATTGGCCAACTGGAGCAGTGCCACTGCACAGGGAACAAATCATATTTTCAATCTCTCGAAATGTGTTTATCAAAAATGCATTTTTCCAAGTTGGATTTTTAGATTGCTTCCTTTATGCGTTGCCCCCCCTTTGCATGTTGCACCCAAATTGAGTTTTCCAAGGGAAAGAGAGGGAGAGCCAAAGCAAAGTAAACTTTACTTTATAAATTACAAATAAGCAAACGGAAAATCCAATCCAGAAAAGAGCAACCTTAACCGGACTCGGGACTGGACTTCCTGCTTCCTGGAACTGGAACCATTTTGGAGTTGACCAAAAACCCGAAAGCCAGGCCACAACAAAAAGCTCTGAAACGGCTTCTAAGCAAAATTAATTTTTTGAAAACCATTAAAAATTAATTTTATTTTATGGCACACACAGAAAAGGAAAGGAAATGTTATGAGGAAGAAGATTTCCCTTCCTACGTTTTTTTTTTTCTTCCTTGGTTTTGGCATGAAAGAATATTTATAATGCATACAGAAAACACTCGGAACGGCCCAGAAAGGCAGTGGGGACACAGCACAGTGGGCGTGAACAAGGCCCGAGGAGGCCGCCTGCTCCTGGTCCTGGTCCTGGTCCTGGTCCTGGCTTTGGTCCCACTTGACTTGGTTTTTATTTCTGCACATGCATGGATAACAGAGTGTTGCACGGACAATGCCAACGGGGAGCAGAGCCAGAGACTTATGTGGAAAGTGTCCAATGATTTTTCGAAATGAGAAACACGTGTGCCAGACACATTCAAATATTTATTAAAGTTCGCTGGGATTTAGTAGAAGGGAGTGTGGCGATGGTTGGGTATTTCTACATATTTATGGTGAAAATAGTTTAGATGGGGTGGAAGGGTAGATGGTTGTCTCTCTGTCGCTGCTTTCTTTGTTTGAAAGAGTATTTTAGTCTTCGAGCAATTAAAGACACGTTGCTCTTCCTCTGGCCTTCTGGTATTTATTTTTGTTATGTACACGAAATATGCCCAAAAGGCGTTGGAGGTGGCTTCTAGGCCACATGCCTCCCCAAGCCACACCCACACAAGCAGACACACACATGGCCAAATAAACTTTGAATAAGCAAAGTCTCTAAAGCTTCCACCCCCCGCCCCTCTGGCCCACTGCCTGCCACAAATCTCCACATAAATCTTAAGAATGCCGGCCAGACCCACATAGAAAATAATAAAACAAGAAAACAGGGGCCAAGAGCTGGTAGCGGCGGTGCTGGATCTGGGGCAGGGGCAGAGACTTCTCTCTGGCACAAAATGGCCAGCAAAACATTCAATTTCCCCGGCTCATTAAAATTAAATAACTAAGCTCAGACGGGCAGAGACTGGCACGGAGACTGGAGGTCCACGGAGAGGGGGAGTGCGGCAGGGGGGATGCTTGCTTTTGGGCTAAATTTAATTGAAGTGCAGCCGAACTAAAGCAATCACAAAAGTCTATGTCGGCTCCTAATATTACGCTCAGTGTATTCTGAGCTGCTACGAAATTGTTCGCAGTGTTCTCTTTCGTTGCTTTCCTTGCAATTTACCGTTGGTTATTGTCCACTGCCCTGCCATTGCTCTGTGCTTGTTCATTCTCGTTCACTGCCTGTCCCATTGCTGTGTGGGTGCGAGTGAAAGAGCGCGTAGCGAGAGAGCCGACTCGCTCAGAGAGGATCAAAAGCAACAAGAAGAAGAGAGCGCGCGCTGAGCGCGTTCCTCTGCGGCAATGCGTTTGGGTTGGAAAGAGAAAGAGCTACATGGCTATTGCGTCGCAGAAAATAAGCGCCTTGGGCTCTAGAGTCTGGACTGAGAGGGCTGTTTTGGCAATGCTGAGAGAGTAAATGAGTCATTGCCCCGCGGAGTGCTTTAGTGTCTGACGTGTTTTAAGTGAAACCGATCCGAATTCTAATACAAATCCAACACAGTTACATATGTAAACAGCTATAGCGAATTTAGTAATTATGTACAAATATTTAAAGTGGCTCCCAGCTTAAATGAAACAGAGCAGCTTTCAGATGAGTGGCTGAAAATTAAGCTATAAATCGCACGAAAATTGGTCGACGCGATGTAAAATAGGTTGAAAAGTGCTATAGACAATAAAGAGAGCTTACCAAAAAGTAACTTTAAATACAGTTTAAAAGTCAAATAAATACAAAAAACTATTGTCAAGAAAACCGCTTCAAATAATCTAAGGAATGAAGCAGGGCAGTATTTATGTTTTTAATTGTTAAAAGTGTGTTAAAAAAATATTAAAAAATATATGAGGTTGGTTTAGATTAAATTTAAATATATATCTATCTATATACATTTGATTTTTAGTTGTAGGTTAAATGGTTTACAAGTTATAGCACATTTAAGTGTGAAAGGGGCTTTGATTCATTTAAGCTGTGGAGCCAGTGGATATGGCTAATAGAATATACGTTTCCAATGGTGAAGATCAGCTCAGAACAGGCCGAAGTGCAGAGAAGAGCGTTAGAGTGGCTCGATTCCGAATATTTCTACTTCAGAAATCATACAAAACCTTTATATGAAACGCGTGTGGCCTATAACTTTCAACAGCCCATGAATATCTTCATAAATGGGAAATTTATGGCATTTTTTAGAAGCCTTAATACCTCTTTCAAGGCCTCTGGAAAATATAAACTATATATTGAAATGATTGAGTGGCTTTATTGGAGCCAAGACCCTATATATGTGTGGAATTCTCCTTATTGAAGTAGTTAATCGATATTTGAGAGAAGTGTCTTCAAAGTAGGTCTTCCCCTTAGTGCTCGATGATGCTACAGATCTACATCAAGTCCCTAAAAATGGGACCTTGTTTGAAGGAAATAAGAAAGTCTATAAATATGGATGCCTGCTCAAAAGACCGTACATCACACACCCACTTTACCATCCACCATCTTAAGTACTTTCGTTCTAAAGCTTCTCCCCTTTCTTACCCTTCAGTGACACCCAACCATGGCCCGAAGATAACCGGCGGACAGCCGCGTTACCAGATCGGAGACACTGTCCGCGTCAACTGCACCTCGTCGCCGTCCAAGCCGGTGTGCCACCTGAGCTGGCTGATCAACGGGGAGCCGGTGCAGAAGGCCCACTTGCGGCAGTACGACAAAATAGTGGTCAATCGGGATGGCCTGGAGATGGCGCGCCTGGGCCTGGAGTTTCGCGTGCGTCCCTTCCACTTCAAGCACGGGGATATGAAGCTCAAGGTGAGTGGGGGCTCTACTTTCCCATAAAAGGTGCTCTTCCTAATGGACTTTCCTGTGTTTCCTTGCAGTGCGTGGCCAAGATCAGCTCGTTGTACTTGCAGAGCAACGAGGAGAGCGTGGAAAGCGATCGCCAGCAGCGAGCACCGGCCCTGGAGTCCCGCGAAACGGTGGCGGCCAAGTCCAGCACTATTGGTAGATCCCCCTCATCAAAGTGGCATTCCCTTCGCCAATAGCCTTACTAACTGAATCCCTCTTGCAGGTGCCGCCGGCTCAAGGCTGCCCTCCCATGTCGTGTCGTTGCTGCCACCAATTCTGCTGCTTCTGCTGCTCCGGGCCTGGCCCTGGTCGAGGGCGAGTTAACTATCTGCGGCCCCAGCTGAGACTCTGAACAGTAAACCGGAAAGATACATATGAACTATTTAGCACAGCAGCAGTCGAGTCCTAGTGGAAAAGCAAACATATCCTATGCCAAAATCTCAAAGAAAAAATGAAAAGATTAAGTAAATCCTTGATATCGAAATTCAATTGATGTTTGTGTGCGTGTGTGTGAATGGAAATGCAAGGAAAATTCGCAGGAAAAACTACTCAAATCGAGCATTTAAGCAGAGGCTAAGAAACTGTACATAAATATGCATAATTTTAGGCAAAGAAATCGTTGTTTTTAGGCAAAAAAAAAAACAAAAAAAGAAAAAAACTTGAAACAAGATAACATAAATACATTCGTTAATCTTTTGTGATATTTTCTTGATTTTGAAAAGGAGGGAAATAAAATAATATACCTGTAGAAAATTTTGACCTATTTTCTCCAATCCATTCCATTCCGCTCCTTCCTTTGTATTTTATCGAAACCTTTTTCGGGCATATCAGAAGCGTCTAACATTTCAATTGTAAAAAAATACCTACTTGCACATTTATGATCTATGATCTACATACGATATCACATCCAAAAACTAACCCAAAAATGAGCAGAAACTTTGCATTTACTTCTAAGAGCAACTAACTTAAGAACCTAAGCAAATGTAAGAAAAACTGTAAAGCCACAAGATCGAAACTAATTTTAATTCAATAAAATATCAAAATACACAAAATACAACAAATTCTACAAAGAAACCAAGCAAATATATAGTTAAATTTGATCGGAAAGCTGTAAATAGGCCGTGAAAAGAGGCATTCCTTGGTAAAAGTAGAAGTGGTTCCGAATCTGAATGTATTATGTCTAAGGGGTGTATCTCTGAATGTATTTGAAGCAATCAATGCCAAGCTGCGGGATTCTTTTGGAAGGAAACCTGTGATTATATTTAAAAATTAGCCAGAGGTTTGCCGGGAAGCCTCCTCTTGAGGCTATGGTCTTTCCATTGAAATAATAATTTAAAAAAATTAAGGATTGATCTCTCAGAGGCATAGCCTAGTTCCATCATGGAATACAGAAGTTAGCTTTTAAACAGACTTTTGTGGATTCATTTCAATGGTTTTCCATTTAAATATTTTTTAGAAAATTCCAAGAGTTAATATTTTTGAAGAAAAATGAACTTGAAAAGGATTGTATTTAAATTCAAGCTTAAGAAAATTTCTTGGGATATGTCAACCTTTTTTTCTATATATTTTAACCTTTGGAAAAGGCCTTCAGCCTCTGTTGCCCAGAACCTTGAGAGCTATCAGCTCTGAGTGGAAGAACCTTCTATAATAAGTCTCCCCTGTGTTCAAAGATCTTCAATCAACAGCCACAACAATGTCTTGTATTAGAAAAAGTTCAACGACTGGGCCCCTCTTTAATGATGGTTTTTCCTGCTGACTCAGGCCCTCTGAAAAACATTGGCATAAACTTATCCCTTGAGAAATTAGCCGCATGCATGATACTAATCCTTTGGCTTATGCTAATTTATCTAGAGCTGAGTCAGAGGGACCCCAGGGGTCGGTTTATGCCCAAAAAATGGTGAAAATTGACACAGACATGCAAGGGGCGAAAATGCGCAACAAACCGCATAAAATGCATTCAAGTCCAAGCAAACAAAAAAAAAAAGGGCCAAAAGCCAGCCAGTTCATGACTCATGCGATGGGGGCAGGGGGTACTGGGGGTACTGGGGGCGGGGGCATTGCATGTTTTGGCGCGTGAGAAATGCAATTCATTTGCATACAAAGCCGCCGGTTCGATTTTGGGCCAACAAACAGTGTATCTCGGGCATTTCCTTGGCAGCTTGGCATTGATTGACCGGGCAGGGGCCGTACTGTAGTCCCTCCTATAAATTAGCCAAAATGAATGTTTATCGCATTGTACATAGCCTGTGGAGGTTGGACTCAAATTTCATTAGCTCTTAAGCGGGAGGCAGTCCTGGAACAGACCTCTATAAGCCTATTCTCCAGTCAAATCTAAGTAAATCTTGTGCGTGTTGTAAACTAAAGAAAAACCCCCACCAGGGAGCAGAGAAAAACAAATTGGCACTCCCTGGTTGGTTGGGTTTATAGCTAAGAAAACATAAACTAAACCTTCCATAAATCTCCATTTTGTTCTCATTTATTTTTCCCATTTATTTTTCGTTTTTAATTAAGAAACAATCAAATGTTTAAGAACGAAATTTAGTTTGTAAAACTGAACATGAAAATGATAAATAAATTAAGTGAAGACAGGACAAGCAAACCGAATGACTTTGTCTTTCAGCGAAACAGGAAACGCATTTCCGTTTCCGCTTTGCCTGGCCTTCCTGTCCTACTCTGTCCTGCAAGGACCCTGTGGCATTTATTGACTAAAAATCGAAATGAAATCACACAAAGAGCCAACAAACGGATAAATAAATTGTCATAGATCTCTTAGTCACAAGAAGCCTGGAGGAATCAAAGCCTTGAAATTTTTGGGGGGAAGTAGAATATGAGAGACTTTAATGCTGGCACAGGGAGTGCATTCTGCACTCCACCACTCCACCAATATCCCCTACAAAATGTAACCACAATAAAGCAGGCTTTGTTCTATTTCTGTGACCTGCCACAAAATGTGCGTGTGAGCAAGTCGCATGTCCAAAAAGGCTTGGTTAATATGACTTTTATTGTTTTTAGAGTACATCCCAGTCGACTCTCCTCACACACTCATTCAACACATTCCCCTTTTTCGTTCAAGTTCCAGTTTTTTGTATAAAAATGAAACAAGATCAAATTATATTCACGGACCAGCTGCTGCACCACCGGTGCGTGGCCTCCCGCGTCGAGGAGACACGCAAAACGTGGGTGGCGACGGAATCGTGGTTTCCGGTGGCTCAGCAGGAATACTACTCCCGCTACGGTGAGATCTACAAGGAGTGCCACGAGCAGTACGGCCCCAGTTTTGAGTACTTTGCCAAGCGGATTCGCCTGCGAAAAGACTTCCAGGCCAGCACAAAATCAGCGGCTGAGGAGCGGGAGAGGGAGTCCTTCATTTCGATGGAACACCTGAAAGGCTACAAGGTATCCCCGACCACCAATGGGGAGTACGGCTTGGTGCTGCCTTCGCGTATCTTTCACTGCTTCTAAATTCAACAGTATCTTTGACAAACATTGGTCTTTTCTACAGTCTTTTTAGTGCTTTTGGTGGAGGCATAAATAGATTTATTAAACACTTTTTTTCGACAAATAACTGGAAGAAAATAATTAACAATACAATAAAATGTTCCCAACTGCAGAGTAATTATTTCTTTGGGCCTTACATCCAGGAAGGATTTTCATCCAATCAAGGGCTATTCGAAATTTAAAAATAATAAAGAAAATGTGCGTGTGAGCAAGTCGCAGTCTTTGACACATGGCCAAAAAAGCCTTGGTTACTATGGAATGTGTAGTATTCATTACAAAATAAGTCCCTAAGTACAGAACTACTCCACTTTAAGGTAGAGAGGATGCTGTGCCATCTCTAGACAGGGCCACACTTCATTGGAGAGGGGACTTTCAATGCCTGCCACATGGAAATCATTCAAAAACCATAAAGACTCTTGCCCCCCTACGAAAAACCCTCACATTATCAACACTTGTGCGCATTATGCAAAAATCTATTGCGGAAACATTTGGCCATTGAATGACTTATGGGAGAAGACCCTAAGGCCTGCAGCAGGGCGGGGGGGAAGGCTGTACAGCCGGCTGTAAGGTTTTTGTAATATGTTTCAAATTAATTTTATACGTACGAGTATGTCCCAGGGCAACGCTTTAACAGAAACGGGAAAGCACTTGGCTCGTAAATTGGTAATGTTCGTAGGCCCGGTTTTATGGGTGGGGGCCCAGTCTGTTTACCATAATTACCTGTTTATAATTAATTAAAATGCAATAAGCGTACGCTTGATAAAAGTGCCACGCACATGCTTACGCTGCAGCCTCCCCCCCGCCACCCACCCACTGGCGAGCGTGTCAGCAGTTTTTTAGCCAGCACTGTGCTCGCTAAATGAAATTAAATTGATAAACTAAATTACAATCGCATAGATAAAGCGTAATAAAGCGCCACCGGAATGAATCCATAAATTATGCAATGGCCCAGAAGCCCTTTTTCCCTGCCGCCAAATTCGAAAACCTGAAAATGCATTGCATTAATGGAATAACAATAGGGACTACCGGGAGCTCTGTTGGTTTTGTACCCTGTATTATATTTTTCGAACCTTGAAACAGGGTGCTACCCTTGGTACATGATTTTTTCGGGGCTGTTTTTAAGAGTGGTTTCAAGATCGGGTAAGGGCGCTACTCCTTATCGTATTTAGGGATCTGGAAGGTCTGCTTTTCAATGCCTGTAGGTCGTAGGAGTATCGTAATACTCCAGATGGTGCCATAAACAGATGATATGTGCCCTCTCTGGCGTTGTTTTTATACCCTTTATTATATTTTCCGATCCCATAAACTTTAAACATAGTCTTTTTTCTTTGGTATACGACTCTTTGGGCGCTACTCCTTATCGTATTTAGGGATCTGGAAGGTCTGCTTTTCAATGCCCGTAGATCGTAGGAATGATATGTGCCCTGTCTATAGTTTTTGTCATTGAAAGGCTTCCAGTAGAACCGCTTCCAACAAAGAAACAAACTTCTACTGACAATCGAAGTTGACTTTCGTGAGCTGTCACTCTCCCCCTTGGAGCCACGCTCATTGACCGTGAATACCTAACGGAAATGCAGTGCTCCCTCCCGCCCTCAATCGATGATTCATTGTCCGTATCTCTCCGTGTCTGTTCGTGTGCGGAAAGTTCCTTCGTGTGGAGTTTAATTGCGGCGACATTTTGATTTATGACGACAAAAGCGAAAGCTGAATGACGCATCCACCGATTGGGGAGGGTACGGGGGGGGGCACAAGGTGTTTGCCTTGGGGCAATACATTTCAGTAATGGATTTCACAAAATTGATTACTAATTGGCATTGGCAATTGAATTTCAATTTATTCCAGCGATGTTTCCGAGGTGTTATGGTGGATGCCACAAGCGAAAGTTGAAGGACGTCTCGAAGGGAAAGTTCTGCTGGTGGCTTTGTTACTGGAGGCGTTCAATCGTGCTTTTGGTAAAGTTGTTATCGCTTCACTTGAACTTGAAAGGAAGCCTGGAAGCCTGTTGTAGAGCTACAGTAAATCTATTCAGAGACAAAACAAAGCGTAGATATTGTGGATTGTAGATTGAATGCTTCAAGAGTTCCCAATTAATGTGAAGGAACGAAGCTGAAAGCTGCCGAATCTTTCTCTCTTTTCATCGAAGAGCAGCAGTCCGAACAGAGGTACAGCGCTGTTAATAGCCCAAGTTAACAGTCTGTTAAAGCTTCCGGCTACCACTCGCCGTTAACAGGCTGTTACCG